TCAGCTTTCCTGCTCCTATGATGCTGCTTGGCCTGCTGTTTTCATCCAGCTCTACACCTTGTTATCTCCGATGTCTACATGGACTTCAGTAAAGCTGTTGACAAGGTCCCTCATGGCGAACTGGTACAAAAGGTGAAGTCACGTGGTGTGAGGGATGAGCTGGCAAAATGCATACAGGACTTGTTTAGTTTTAGGAGACACAAGTTAGCAGTGGAAGCATGCTTTTTGGAATGGAGGGTTGTGGCTAGTGATGTTCCACAAGGATCAGTGCTGGGACCTCAGCTGTTCGTAATCTTTATAAATGATTTGGAGGAAAATATAGCTTGTCTTAATGGTAAGTTTGCAGACAATACAAAGATTGGTGGAGTTGCAGATAGTGAGGAGGATTGTCAGAGGATACAGAAGGATATAGATCAGTTGGAGGCATGGGCAGAAAAATGGCAGATGGAGTTTAATCCAAACAAACGTGACATAATACGTTTTGGAAAGTCAAGTACAGGTGGAAATTATATGACGAATGGTAGAACCCTCGAGTATTGATGCAGAGGGATCTCGGTATGTAGATCTACAGATCACTGAAGGTGGCAGTGTGGGTAGAGAATGTAATAAAAAAGGCCAATGGCATGCTTGCCTTCATTGGAAGGGGCATTGAGTATAAGGATGGGCAAGTTATGCTGCAGCTTTCTAGGGCTTTAGTTACGCCACATTTGGAATATTGCATACAGTTCTGGTCACCAAACTACTAGAAGGATGTAGTTGCTTTGGTGAGGGAGCAGAAAAGCTCTACCAGGATGTTGCCTGATATGGGGGATTTTAGCTATGAAGAAAGGTTGGCTCGATTGGGTTTGTTTTCTCCAGAATGCAGGAGTTTGCGGGGTGACCTGAGAGAAGTTTATAAGATTGTGAATGGCATGGATAGAGTGGAGAGTATGAGGCATTTTCCCAGGCTGGAGTGGGCAGTTATTAGGGGACACAGGTTCAAAGTTCCAGCAGTGGGGGCGTGAAGGTACTTTAAAAGAGATGTGAGAAGCAAGTTTTTCACACAAAGGGTGGTGAATGCCTGGAACACGCTGCCAGAGGAGCTGGTGGAAGCAGACACAATAGCAGCTTTCAAGAAGCACCTGGACGGATACATGAATAGGAAGGGAATAGAGGGATCTGGATCCTGTTGGCGAAGACCGTTTTAATATGGAAAGGCAAAATGTGTCAGTGCAGGCTTGGAGGACCAAAGGCGGTTCCTGTGCTGTATTGTTCTTTGTTCTTTAGGCTCACAGTATTTCTGTGAGCATCCAAGTAGCCACGAAGTGAGTAAAACCTTAAGTAGCAAGCAAGAAGCCCTGAGGTGGACCCTGCTCCAACGCATGAGATGGGTGTCTGTTCTCAGGTAGAGAGTAGCTTGTTAGCACTATGACAGTGAAAGGTGTCAGCGTGCTCCAAAGTGGACACCTGTATCTGAGTCAGTTAGGGACTGAAGTTGGAGTGTGTCTGATGCCAACCTCTGTGGATGGAGTTTGCTCTTGGTCACTACTCATGGAGTATGTCCAGAGGTACAACTCAAGAGGGACACCTGGAGGACAAAATGGTGATCTGGAGCTGTCAAGTACTCACTCAGACCTTCATGTTTGGAGTTGTCATCGTCCACTCTGTCTGGTGAATGGGAGAAAGGCAAACTGCTCCATGAGACGAGTATAAATAATAATATGTAAATGGGTAGAAAATTAGACTTCATTTTTTCAATATCGAGAATCTTATTTTCCAGTCTTGCAGTGTTTTCCCAACTGCTTTGCCTTTGCCAACTTTGTTCAGGGGACTGGAAAATTTCAGCCTGATGTACGAGTTCCATTGTTGAGGGTAATGTGATATTATTTAGATATTCTATATTAAAAATAGTTAATGGAAATGAATGTGTAGATGTGGA